GTCGAAATTTATCTTCGAACCAATTATCGCGTCGCGATATTAGTCCTCGTCGTAACGCTGTGCACGTACTGACAAAAAAGGCAATTAGTCAGCTCGTTTGAAAACAACAATCGCGAACAGAGAATTAGAAAAAACATGGGTTTCGTGTCCATCAGCCGTAGCTAACGCAAACGACCATCATAGCCACGCAATATTGGCCATGTCATCGCCCTGCTACATAAATAAAAGAAATGCCCACTGTACATACATCACATCTCGCAAGGGAGGCAAGTTGAATTGTCATTTTTCACCCAGCCACAACAAATAAACGTCCACCGAATTGCCCTGAGATTAATCGCCTCTGTAGATACAGAAGACCTGAAAAATAAAAAGTTATTGCCGGTCTTTGTGTCTTCCTGGGTGTTATTTATAAATATAAAAAAAATATTGCAATATTTTAAAGCACAGTACCCTGGATTTTTTGTTTCATCATTACTCAAATTCTAGAGGTTTTTTTCACGTTTTCTAAGATTTAAGGGGCTTCCGTAGAAAGTATGTCGCTGGACATGAAAAATGTGATTGCAAATATTTGAAAAAAATATTGTTTCTGGGTTTTGCAATTATGAAAAATTATTTGATTATTTTGCGAATTTAATTGTTTTATAAGAAGCCCATATAAATAAAATAAAGATATGTACTTAATGTTAAAGTATTCTAAAACTGCTATATTTAATTTTGGCAATTCCTGAAACATTGTAGAAATTTTCGAATAAATGAAACATCTAAAAAACTCTATTAGATAATTTTCGACGGTGCTCGAAATTTGTCAAAAATTACATAACATTTCATATTGAAAAATTGAGTTTTTGGAAAAATTCGCTAAGAATCCACCAAAAATTCTGGAATATAGATACATCTCGAGGACGTAGTTCCTAAAACATAGAGCGTAAATTAATGATCGTGGACTAATATTTTCGAGGGATTAGTTTTTAAGTTCATATTTTTAAAACATTGAAAAAAATTGCCATATTTCATTTGGTAATTCCTGAAAAGTGGTACAAATGTTCTTAGAAATCAACCCAAAAATAAATTATAGAGCTCGAAATCTGTGAACAATCTTTTTAGATAATATTTGATGGTGCTCGTAAAAACAAACAATTTGCATTTTGAAAAATTGAGCTTTTGCAGAAGTTGCCTAAAAATTCACCAAAAATTGTGGAATATAGATTTTGACAAGATAATTTGAAAAAACATATCGTGTTGACGGTCTTCGAGATATCCGTTTTCAAGTCAAATTTAAAAAAATCTAATAGTTGCCATATTTAATTTTGGCGATTCCTGAAAAATTAGTAAAAAAGTAGTATATAGGAATTTTCGAAGAAATGAAGCTGAAAATAATTCTGAAACTTGACATCTGCAAAAACTCCTTTAGATAATTTTCGCCGGTGCTCGAAAATAGTCAAAAATTACATACTTCAATCTCACATTGAAAAATTGAGCTTTTGGAAAAATTGCTTACAAATCCACCAAAAATTCGAAAAATATAGCGGGTTAATGAACCTGGACTAAGATTTTCGAGGTTTTAAGTTCATATTTTTAAAATATTTCATTTAGCAACTTCTGAAAAGTGGTACGAACTTTTTTAGAAATGAACCCAAAAATAAATTCTAAAGCTCGAAATCTGTGAAAAATCTGTTCAGATTAATATTCGACTGTGCTCGAAAAAACACACGATTTGCATAAAATTTCATTCTGAAAAATTGAGCTTTTAGAAAAGCTGCCTTGAAATTCACCAAAAATTGTGGAACGCAGATTTTGACAAGATAATTTGAAAAACATAGCGCGTTGACGGTCTCGGACGAAGATATTCGAGGCATTCGTTTTCAAAGTCGAGTTTAAAAAAAATCTAAAAATTGCCATATTTAGTTTTGGTGATTCGCGAAAAATAGTATACATAATGTTTCGAAGAAATGAAGCCAAAAGTAAATTTTGGGGTTTGATATCTCTAAAAACTTCTTTAGACAATTTTCGACGGTGCGCGAAAAAACACACTGAAAAATTGAGCTTTTACAAAAGTTGCCTAAAAATTCACCAAAAATTTGACAAGATAATTCGAAAAACATAACGTGCTGACGGTCTTGGACCAAGATCTTTAGAGGTATTCATGTTCAAAATAAAAGTTTTAAATTCTGGTAAAAATTGTCATAGGATATTTTGGCGATTCTAGAAAAATGGTAGAAATTTTCAAAAAGATGCAACCGAAAATAAATCCTGGAGTTCGAAATCTGTAAAAAATCCTTTTACATAATTTTCGACAGTGCTCGAAAGTAGTTAAAAATTACATAAAATTTCATACTGAAAAATTGAGCGTTTGCAAAAATTGCTTAAAATTTCACCAAAAATTCAGATCTCGACGAGGTAATACGAAAAACATCGCGTTAACGATCCCGGGCTAAGATTTTCGAGGTTTTTAAGTTCATATTTTTAAAGCATTCAAAAAATCATTTGGCAATTCCTGAAAAATGGTACGAACTTTCTTAGAAATAAATTCTAGAGCTCGAAGTGTGTAACGGTACTCGAAAAACCACAGAATTTTCATAAGATTTCATTTTGAAAAATTAAATTGACCTTTAAGAAAAGTTGCCTGAAAATTCACCAAAAATTGTGGGGCAAAGATTTTGAGAAGATAGGTCGAAAACACAGCGTGTTGGTGGTCTTGGATGAAGATCTTCGAGGTATTCATGTTCAAACTCAAAATAGTGGCTATAAATTTTCGAAGAAATGAAGCCGCAAGTAAATTTTGGAAGAGACATCTGCAAAAACTTCTTTTGGATCATTTCGGCAGTGCGTGAGAAAAGAAAAAAATTTCATACAAGCTCATATTGAAGATTGGGTTTTTGGCAAGTTGCCTAAAAATCCACCAAAAATTCTAGAAAATAGGATATCAGCAAGCTAATTAAAAAAAAATATGATCCCCAACAACGAATGTTTTGAAAGTAAAATTTTTTATATTTCTAAAAATTAGCATACACTATTTTGGCGATTCTGGAAGAATGGTAGAAATTTTCGAAGAAATGAAACCAAACATAAATCCTAGGGGTCGAAATCTGTAAAAAATCCTTTCAGATAATTTTCGACGATGATTGACCCCTACTCTTCAAATGTGTTTTTTTTTACAAAATTTTGTGATGACTTCATCAATATTTTGCAAGGACACGTAAATATATCAATTTGGATAGGTGCAGTGTTATACTAATAATAACAGTATTGTATTCCCAAATTTTCTGGAAAATGGAATGAGTCGTTTCTGCTTTAATCAATAAAATATATTGACTCATTTTTTTTGAGTCATCGTATGTAAACAATGCAAAAAAATATGAATACATTGATAGATCATAAATATAGACTCATCATAGTTATGATAGCTTTAAAACGTGTACAAGATTCAAAAGCGATCGGTTTTGGATATTTAAAATTAAATTACTATATGTTGTTACATGATTTTTATATTTTTCCAAAAATCTGGATATCTCGGGTAAAAACTCAACATGGATTCATAAACTATACGTCTAGACAATTTAAAATCCATTTTCTATGTACAATTTTAAAGTGACGTCATCACATTGTTCGTGGGGATGATTAGACAAAGTTTGTAGTATTTCATCATCTACATGATATTCGTAATACACATATAAAATTTGACAATCGGTTCAGTAGTTTCAGAGATTATCTGTCTAACAAAAATCGACATAGATGGCGGACAGACAGACAGACAGACAAACAGACGGAAGTGGGAGACTTATGTTTTTGTATTCTAGAGGTCATGACACTTCGACAAAATGTGAAAGTAACCAGTCGCCGATGGACTCAGTTACAATACTTCCTTGTAGCTTACGCTCGGGAAGTAAAAATATAAAAATTTGTCTTCGAAAAAATTCATTCGGAGTATTTTTAACTCATTAAAAGTCAATACTTGTCCTGCCTTATCCTATTAGTTATATATCTGATTAACTCAATAGCCAATTTGCCTTATTTCTGAATAAAAAGGTGTCCTATCGTTTTTAACAATTTTCTAGTAATGATAAAAAATCAGTTTCGCAATAGTGTTCGAAATTTTTCTAACCATAGGTGAGAAGTTGGTAAAATGCGGCACGAATCCCCATTTTTTTGTGATCATTAAAAGTGAAAATACAATGTTGAGTCTCCACCTACAGAATTAAATTTTAAAATAAACACTAGTTACTTTGTATGAAACCATTAGACGAAACATTCGCAAAATTGCCCGCAGATAGCATAATAAATAGTTGGAGCAAGATTCAATCCTGCTCAACGTAGCAGTGTTCCAGACTGTGCATATCGCCGGAATTTACGCTTTCCCTACCCACATTGTAAATCTTATGACCGCGTAGTGCATTCATGCATTGCTCATATCTCCATGCCTCAATTCTGATAATGTTAACCCGTATTTTATTTTTACGAAATTTAGTCTGTATTAGTGCAAATTATTGTTTTGGAGACAATTTGTCTTGTTGTCTTGTAATAGTTAACAAAAACTTCGTTTAAACTAACTTCCACTTAATATAAGATTGTTATTTTTTTATGAATTGCACATCAGTTGCGACAAGATCGTAATACATACTTATATTTATATTCAAAGAAACCGTTAAAATCATAAGAAGCTACTCTAGAATCATTAGAAAATAGCCCAACTTCGTTACTGTTTGTGAGTATCAAAAGGTTTTCGGAATTGTGTATTGTTTTTCTTATTTATAATAACCTTTTTCAAAATTTAAAAGGTTACAATTTCTCACTTGCTCCTTAGATATAATTAACATCGATAATAAATACGTAAAATCTAAAAGGACCCAAATCCGTACCTTCAAGCACTCGTAGTAAGTTTTACCTAGACTACCCTTTACAACTAGTATTTCGATATAGTATACGAAATTTCCATTACCACAGACCCGATTTCTGCTGGGACTGGAGTCATCCTCATCCCCTAAAGAAAATTTTGTCCACAGGTCTGGTTCAGCAACCGACGGGCTAAATGGCGTCGCGAAGAAAAGCTGCGCAATCAGCGAAGGGCTGTTGATCAAGTGGGTGCCGTCAGCCCTCCGGCGTCGACCGGTCGTCTACCCATCAACTCCGGCTTCAACTCCATGTATTCGTCTATTCCGCAGCCCATCGCTACCATGGCGGACACGTACAGGTGAGTGGAATTCGACCGGTAGCTCTGCATGAACTTTTTTTTATCTTGAATACTTGGTCCTGAAAGCACGCGACGTCCCGCTGAGGCTAAGTGGAGGGATTTCTGACTGTCCCGGACGACAGGCTAATCCTCTGGCGGGCCGCTGACATGACGTGACCGCTGCAAGCATGTCACGTCTCTTGGATTCCGACAGACACCTTTGTTTATGCGGGATTCTGATGGTGAATAACTGATAGCAGTCGGGAAGCTCCGACTAGATATTAATATACGCTCGCCAACAGCACCATACACAAATTTAATCCAGAGAGAGGTTTAATCTCCGTTTTTTTTTTGGGAGGTTTTATGCCAAATTGTTTTCTAAACCGTCATCCGGCGATTATTTTTATATAAACAGTGCCTATTTATGAACGTTATATTTCCATGAGGCTCAACAAGCAATTATTTTGTTCTATTTGCAAAAGTATACGCTACACAAAAATTTTAATTATCACAAATCTATAAGAGTTAAAATGAAAATAAACTAAAGCGGAAGTGTGTGTACATACGACATCATAAAACCAGGTAAACTCCTTCAGCTTGGTTTGCCGTCAATAAAAAAATTATAGGTAATATTTTGTTTCAATTTTTGTAACGGTACTCGTGAGTACTGCAATATCGTGATACTGCAGAGAAGCGAATTATCATTTTTTAGCTAAGTTATATCAAAAGTTTCAAAATTAGTAAAGAAATCAGACAACAGTCAGTAAAATAGTCTGAGTTTATGGACTTTATCAAATAGCTAAAGAGAATTTTCATTTCTTTTGACATCCTAAGTGTAAGTTCGTGAAGTGTTGTAGTAGAACCCACTTTCCATTTATGGAACACGAATTTATTAGACATGTAATTTCGGAAACTATGGATCGATTGCTGTGAAATTTTAAATAGATAATATTTCAATACTTGTGGTTTATTAATTCACCCGTACTTTTTATTCAATATCTAGTTAAAAAAAAATGGCCGCTTTGAAATCTCGTTAATGCTTGAAGGTTTTTACATATAAGGTACATACTTTAGCCATATGTCAGGACTAAAAAATTACAGATTCAAAATTAAATTGTAAAATGTTTTATAATTTTGATTTTTTTTCCAAAAATCTGGACGTCTCGGGTAAAACTCAACACGGAATCGTAAACTACATGTGTAGGACTATGTCATTTTATACAATTGAAAACCCATTTGCTATGTACAGTTTTGAAGTGATGTCATCACATCATTGAAGGGGGTGATTACACAAATTTTGGTAAGCATTTTACTATCTACAAGATATTCGTAATATAAATACAAAATTTGACAACAATCGGCCCAGTACTTTTCTCAGATTATCTGTCTAATAAAAATCCGGGGACGGCAGACAGACAGACAGATAGACGGAAATGAAACGCCTATCTCTCCGTATTCTACGAGAAAACGTAAAAGTAGAGAGTCGGCCGACGGACTTGATTACAATATTACCTTCACTTACAAATGAAAATTTCATTATCATTATTATTTTATTATTCAGTAAAACGTAGAAATTGTTTATATCTAAATAGAAAGGCTTTTAATTTAATTTTGAACACATAGCTAATTTGCATATTTCATTCTTATTTAAAGAAAGAACACTTATTGATTAATCTTTTGACGAAATTTTAGGTTTCAGGTCCTAAAACTTTTATTTACCAAAAAATTTTAAACCTTGAGGTGGCAATATTTGGATTCTACTACTTCTGCTAAAAAATGTACCCGTTTATTTCCTCCAAAAATGTGATGACGTCATCTCAAAATTTTGCTAGATAAATCCTATCTAAAATGTGTAAAATATTATGCATCTATGGGTCGGTTTATTAATCCGTCCATATTTTTTGATAAAAGTCTACGAAAAAAAAACATAATATGCATTGTATCACATTTCTGAGGGCGAACTACATGTTTTCTGAAAGCTCTCAATTATTTTTATATAATTGTTGAACCAACTGTACCATAACTATTATGAGCGTCGCCAAAATGGATTTTCAGATTGTTATCTAAATATTTTAATATTTTCAAATGAAAAAAAAGAGTGTCTCGTTTTTTGATTAAATTGTATGTGTAGCGGTGAAGTTCGTAGTTTTTAAGTTTGAAGATTCTCCATTGCATAAATGTTTCCTATGTAATTTGTAGTTTTGAAGTAGTTTGCTCTACGAATTGACCAGAAACACTCAGTGTATTCTGTCCACGACCCCCTTTTTGTTTTAAACGGCACCAAGCTAAAGTCGTGGGCATATTCCCATTTCACTTTTAATTCTGCTCCAACTTAATGTTTTGCGTTGTTAAATTCTTCCTCCACTCAACGGATTAGAACCGCAGGCTTGTCGACTAAAACCATTACGTCTTTTTTGTTTAAAGCATTAAATAGATCCGAAGTCCAGCCACTAGTGGCTTGTTTTCAGGAATTCGCAAAACATTCATGTCAAGTGGCGTAAACGGAAGTTAGGAACTGAAAGCATGTCTCAGATTCCGAAACACAATTACCCCTACGAGTCGTTAACTACAAGCACTTCCTAATCCCAATAACTAGCAAAGTATTCTGATTAATTTTCAAGCAAGCACAGATAGTTTCGTGAAGTCGACTGACCACTGATGAAACACTTTTTTTTTCAGTTCCATGTCAGGGGGCTTAAGCAGCAGTTGTCTCCAGCAGCGCGACGCTACCGGTTATCCTTACATGTTTCACGACCCGTTGCACTCTTTGAGTTCTTCGTACAACTCGAGGGCTACGGCTTGCAATCCTGCAGTAGCTCACGCCCAGCCGACTACTCATCCCTCTTATGCTTCTGGCACAACACCGACTTCAGTACCTGCCTCCACCGGAACCGGTATGTATTTTTAATCCACCAACTTCAATAAGAAAGATGTTTTCTTTATAAACCGAGGTTACGTTTCGTAGTGCCGGCCTCGGGCGACCAATTTAAAATCGACCAATAAACGTTTATACTTTTATGGCGGCGACGAGAGAAGGGAAGATTTAGTTTCCACAAAATGATATCATAACTAAAATTAAAATACTGTTCACTGGGAATTTCTCGTCTACCTGCGGAAGTGGAAACAATTCTTCATCACAACTAGGAAAAAAGTCAACAACTATTGAAACAAAAAGTTAAAAATGAGCAGTGTCGACATTGTCAGAAAAATGGCGATATTCCAGATAACGGTGTTCACTCGATTATTTTAAATCCGGTTTAGACCAAGATGCGATCCGGCTTGTTCGTTTCTATAAGTCCGTAGTTTGGATCCAGATCTATCCCTGGATCTTCGGAGTAGACTCGCATTCTAGGAGCCGATCCGAATCTGGAATCTTTCACGGATCTAAACCTTTTACAGCCTATAAGTGTTTTTAAAATCACTTTCTTATTAGGAATTAGTTTGGGAAACCATCCCATAGCATCCGATGCTTGTGCAGATTTTGAAGGAATACGTAGTTACGGATCCCATTTGGATTTAAATCTTCTGAATAAGAGTCGTGAATATGATCCTAATAAAGACGAAATCGATGGACCGGATTTTTTAAAGTCCCGATTTTTATATACTTAGTATAGATCTGGATCCGCAAAAATTGCAGATTTGAACACGACACATTTGCGGATTTATCTTATCATAGTATAGCTTTCAATCGCATTTTCTTTATTTAGCGCTATAAATCAAACACATTGCATTTATTCGGCTTCTGACAGCATTCACCTGCTAAATCCTAGACTTAAATTCCATGAAACAAAGATTTCACGGTTGAGGAATTTACTGAATTACATAGTAGCGATTAGATTGACATTTTTTCAGTACCTATCGATAGTTTTTCCAAAATGTGGACGATGTCAACGTCAACAAAGTTTCAAAATGCTTTTTAGTTAACACACTTTTTTTAATAAATATATTAAAATTATTAAATTTTTAACTACCTTCGTTCTTTGTCCAATTCAATAACTTGTTCTGCATTTATTTCGTATCTTTAGAAGTTCTTTTAAGCTCAAATCCATAATTCGTTTCGTATTTAGTCTGTTACCTAAGTTCTCACATATTTTAAATAATCTAATGCTTAAATAAATAACTTTTTAAGTAGTCTTGTAGTCCCTTCATGCTACACGGAGTTTCTCCTTGGTCTAATTTTTGCTTAATTTGCACCAAACCGTCATTACGTATTTACTAAAAAGTGTCGAAGAAGTACATTCTTTTCATTTTGTTGAAAACGTTTTTTAAATTTTGTTCCCTACAAACTCATTACGTTTTATACCCGGTTTTAAATTTGGATGTGTTTGTTTTTTGTGACAAATGAATCTTCCCCCTTTGTTTTACTTTTAACAATTTTACTTATTTTGTCTGCTATTGCATCCCTATGTCTTTATACTTCTCTGAAGTTTTTGTGTCTTTTTTCCTATAGTCGTGCATTCAAAAGTAAGAGTTGTTATTTGCTTTGATACTGGACACCGAAAACTGGCGCGGAAAGGGAGAGGATTCGGATCAATGCTCAGAGAACCATAGGACAACAATTTTGTGAAACGCATTACTGATATCTGTAAAATCTTAAGAGAAGAATGAGTCATTTTTGTAGTGGGAATCAGGATTTCGGACTTAATCGAATTAGAACTGCATTGACAAATAGAAATCTGAACACGTGCTGATTACTCCTTTGTTTGATGTTAAGTCGGAATACAAACATTTGTCGCTTATGACAACAACTAGCTTTTTATATTATACTAATTTTATATGCTAACCCTGTTCTTTCCATTTACACCATTCTAAATAATTTCTTTTTAGTCAGCCTGTTACTATAAACTGGGACCTAGAATCCCAGTTTGAAATCCAAATACCTTGTCAGGATCTTTTTCTAGCAGTGTTATTTTTATATTTCTACGTCATACTTTTCTTACTGTGGTTACTTTTTTACAGGTTGTTCTTCTACTTTTACTGTATTTCTGCTACGTTAGATATTTTCTGTATTAAGTTCCTTTTTCATTGTTGATTCGACATTCGATACTTCTTTTTTTGTTATAATTTTTTTATAATAATTTGATCGTTTATAAACGGAACCACCGAAATAATAGTAATAAGAAAAAAAATTCTTCCACCACTTTAACTATTTATCTCCTTAATTGTTTTTTATTACTCTGCTCCAACTTCCTTTTTCTTTTCACACAGACTTTTGTATTGTCGTCTTTTACTTTTTCTATTTCTTATGCGAACAGAAATAATGAATAACCAAACTTGTGTATTGTTTTTGATAATTTTATGTTCCGTTTTACACATTTTCAACTGTCATTGTTTTTTTCTGGTCCAGGTTAATTTTCTTTTTACCTCCTTCATTGCATGTCCGCCATATTTTTTTCCATAATTTTAGTTACGTTCACGAAGTTCTGTTCTGGAGAATTTTTTTTAGAAGTTACGTTTCTTTGATTTGCTTTCTGTTGTTATCTATAAGTATAGCTATTTTTTGTTTTTGTTTTCTTACTAACTACTGTTTCTTTATTGTTATCAATATTGTCATTGCCTTCTAGCATTAAGACCGCTTTGTTATTTGAGATATTTATTGTTTAAGGACAAATTTCATTTAGTACGATTTCTGAAAAGGTAGATGTTTAAAGTTACATATATTCTTAAAAAAAAACTTGTGATTCAGATTAGCAGGGCTTCTGTCCCCTGTCCTGTATAGACTTCTCTGCCGCAGAATTAAATTCTTTTTTGCGTCGAGACACCATGTTCTGGCGCGCGTCTTCGGTCCCTAATGACGCCGGAGACGTGCCTGGTCGTTATGTATACGTCTAGTAAATCTCATGTATGGGGTCCGCATCGGTTATCTGATAGAAAGGAGCGAGTTTAGCAGTTTTCCCGGTTCGCCGCCGTAAATTTCATTGTCCGTGATCAGTTTAAAGTGGCGGAGGGTGGTTTCCAATTCTCGGCTCGGCGAACGCTCAATAATGTGCGAACTAAAGCGAGGGTGGGGACACCGTTGTTCTGGTTGCAAGCTTCGTTTGGTACCTTCTCTCTCGAGACCCCGCTTAAACCTCAGCCGGTACCTTTTGTTCATTCTATCTTTTCGCAGGCGTGATATCGGCAGGGGTTTCCGTGCCCGTGCAGATACCCAGCCAGACGCCGGATCTCTCCTCCAACATCACGTCGAACTACTGGCCCAGGATTCAGTGATCTCAACTTTTCGGGTTTCCGCCGCCGAGCATCCTCGTGCACCAGGACAACCCGACTCTGCAAACCTCGATGACTCCTCCGGTGATTCCGGCGACGGCGGCCGATCAGGAGTCGTCTTAATGGACGAAAGCGCCACCTGAACGGTATTGGAAGAAGCAGTGGCCCCACGGACTGCAGGGTACTTGTGAATAGTGTACATAGCGCGGGACTCAGTGTATAGAGGGACTGTTTTTGACTCGGAACGCACATCTTCAGGGTGATGTTTCAATCAGTTGCAATAATTGGGTTGCGCGGACTTGGGGAACCCAAACACATTTCTTTCTCTGGTACGATAATTTTTGTTTGCAATAGTCACGGGAATACTTGTCTTTGAAATAATTGCATAGCAATAATTATATGTCTTACTTTAAGCCATGTTTGTAATATTAAATAGATGTTATGGACTGTGTTAACACAATCAAATTTTAGGCAGTTTTTAGTTCCTAAAATGCAATGCTTATTAATCGGATCTTTTTTATGATAGTGTATAGTGATATATTTCAACAAGTATTATTCAATGTCGTGTAAATTATTGTTGCTGTGATTAACTTTAAATTATACATTGAAGTTTTATGTAGTTTAGAATTTGCTGTTTAGATGTGTATAAATTATAGTGCATTCGTGGAATAATAAACAAGTAATCCACTACAAAACTTTTTTATTCAATATCATCACATGATTCTGCTTACTGGATAGAGAGCGTAAAATTCTGACTAACTATATATCTGAGTATATGACCCCAGTAGTATCTCTGATTAATGGTGTGGTCTCACTCACACCCTCTTCAAGAGTCGTGTAACGGTGAGGGGGGAACGGAGGCTTACTCCTCTGTTCTTTCATTTGATAATAAAAGCCAAAAGTGGTCATAGCCACCAAGAGGATACTCTGCGTGATATCTGCAAAAAGTTAAAGTAAGTAAAAACTCCACACAGTCCTAACTCATACCCAAAATTTGAAACGGCGGATCAATCGTTGCCATATTAAAATTATTCACGACCATCCTCCTAAAAGAATTAATCACGATGTATTGCAAATTTCCCCCAGTATAGTAGTTCAATGCGGCTACACAAGCGTACGCCCCTAGAAAACTACATCCAAAAACGTGCCATTCCAGCGTCCACATGGTGAACATTGTATGAAAAGCAATAACAATAGCCAAAAAAGTCAACCAAAAATTAATATCGTTGTGAAAAATCTTCAAATCGGCTAAAGAAAAATATCATTACTCTCAGTAGTGTACTATACAAATCACCTTACCTACGCCTGCGTAGAACACGATCGATGCTAACAAAAATCCAGATAGGAAAAAAGTGAGACTCACTGAGAGAATCGGAATACCGAACTTCCACCACATCAGAAGCCAGAGTGACCCATAAATTAGCCCAATTAGAACAGCTGTAGTTGTTTTTTCTGCAACATGCACGTGTTACGTCGCGTTTCGACACTAGGGAGTATTCACACGACCCATGCAAGCAATACGGTGCGCTAAATCAAGCATAGTGTACCAATATTCCCCACATTTGTCACTCGGAAACTCCCTATACAGCTTTCCTTGTACCTGCTACCGTTAGATTATTGCTGCTCAAAGACAAAATAACGTATGTTATAAAAACACCTATTACAAAACCTATCAAATACAGTGTGATTCTAAAAAATTTGTGCCCAAAAAAGTTAACAAATAGACCGAATATTAAAAGAAAAGCGCAGATAACCTTCCAGTGAGGGGTCACAGGACCATAACAGCTCTCATCTTGGTTATCCAAATCGCATCCATATGATACAGCGGGGACGTAAGCTGAGCTTCTATTGTGGTAAGTAGCTACAATAGCAAACACCTGTCCCACACCTCTGTAGGCGCTGTAGAGCTTTCTGTATTTAAAATAACCATCAACAGTTGATACTTTGTATCCATGAGATTTTATTAAATCCACGGTTAACATATTTTCAATGCCGTTAAAATAATATTTTTCGGCGTAGTTATTCTCGTGTAAGTATAGATGATACAAATCTACTTGTATGTTGTTTTTGTCGCAAGTCGTGTCAAAGGCTGATGGAGCCTGACTTTGTACTATTATTAAGTCTTCTGTGTATGATACCAGTTGGTATGGTGCATACTCTGTGTTAAAAGTTAAGTTGCACCCACCAGGGATTGGATCTGTAAAAAAAATAGTATTCACGGAGGCTGCTTTTCAATGTTTGATCAAGCTACTGCAAAAACTATGACAATTTTTAATCTTTGCCGCTTACTAATATTGTGACATTTACTAAAAATCTAATCTAATGCTTATTGCATTATTTCGGTAAGGCGGCAAAACTCAGGGCTTACTTTGATCCAGTAATTGTTTGTTGGCTCTTGTGCATAGCATATCCACAAATAGTTCTCTCATCGCAGTAAGAATTTGTTTTGCCGCCTTGATAAAGCAGGTGTGACAACTAAACACAAAATCGAAATTGAAAATCTGTAATTTACAACAGCAGCTCGAACAACCATTTGTAGACATTGTACACATTTAACAATTAATTTACCTTTTTTGTTGTAGATCACTACAACAATTAAAGCTTTGGTTTGGTTTTTTGATTTAACATAGAATCTTGTGTCATTGTCATTAAAAGAGACTAGCCCTACGTTAACGCCCTCAACTGAGTCCTTACTCCTGAATTTTCTTGTCGAAGATAGAGTAACATTGTAAGGAAACGAGTGAACTTGCACAACATAAAAGCCCACACTTTCGGGTACATTATTTACCCAAATCTCTGAAACCCCGGCAGTTAGGTTAATAAACATCTTCTGCACATGTGTCGTCGCATTCTGCGGGTTATAATCGGACAAATCAAAGGTTACCACTTGACCTGAAAAAATAGGTTAGGTCATCAACCCGCACAAATTGATAATTAAATACCTTCGCACACCGCCAGAGACAATAAACACATCAGAACCAGCCTCATTTTGCATAATATCGATCTTGTTGCCGAAATCAGCTGTGATAATCAAAATAAAAACACCACGCTATCAAGCGCACACGATCGCGCATGCGAATCGGCGTGAAATGTGCGATCACGTCTTGTTGTTATCTGTTGTTTTCGCACAGGCCGCTAGAGGCGCGGCGGTTGTGTCATGGTTGACAGGCGATCAATGAATTTGTACTACGGTAGTGAGTAAATTAGTGTTGTGCCATGAATTTATTTTAAATGTTTGATTGCGGTGGCGGCGGATAATGGGGAAAGATCAAGAGCTGCTGGAGGCGGCCCGGAAGGGCAATGTGGCCGTCGTGGAGAAAATCCTAGGGCAAAGGGCCAAAAGGAGTGGCCCTCTCGCAAGGTGGGTTGTTGCGATCAGCTGGTACTTGTGGGGTTATTTTGCTGGGGTTTTGTATTAAAAGGGTTGTGCCAACGCCGGTGAGGGTTGGAGGAAGTCATGCACGGTCAATAGGATGTGTAGATAGCTGAATAAGTTTATTTTTTTGCGAGAACTAACTGTTTTATGGTCGTGTTACCTTGTCATGTTTTGAAGACGTCTCCAAGAAAGCGAGTGATTCATAGCTCTGTGGCCTTTTGTTCATTTTTTTTATGATGTTAAATCACAATAACAAATGGCTCGTGGGCGGACTTGTCGATATTTGGTAATGGATCTTTAAAATTCTCGTAAACTGTGGCGCTTGTAATATGCTCAATTAGCAGAATTGTGCTACTAATGGTCCGTGGAATCGTGTGTTTCCTGAGGCAGTTTTTTTCCGAATTACTCATTAAGGTCGTTTCACTTGGTTAGTCCAAGAACTTCCTTTTGAGTAGTGGAAGGTTATTGGATTTGTTTCCAATGTTTTTGTGACAAGTGTGGCAACTTTCTCCTTGGATTCGGATAACGATAACCTGTTACACCGTCTTTCTTGGTCAAGGTTCATAACTGGGTTATTTACAGTTTAAAAATTAGCGTTTGTTTACTTTTTGATTCATCTAATCATCGGTAAGTGTTTAAAAGGCATGAGTGGTTGTTGCGCCCAACTCATGAACTTACTCATCCACCGTTACATAATGAGCTATTTCCAAACACTTTCTATTTCAGAGTTGGTTATTTATGTTTATTTATTAGTTTATAACTGCTGCTACAACGATTATTGCAATAATTATTTACAAAATCAACATGTGACGCGATAAGGATCAGTAAATACAACAAAATAGCGGTTTTACTCACTTTAATGTTTGTTTAAAATGTCGCAGTTACATGATGTTTATTTTAACAGATAATTTTACGACGACATTGAAATTGCAAAAAAAAACATAGAATTTTATCCAACAGCTTAAGACGAAATTGTCTTAAAAATGAGGCTAATCATTTTTCTTTTTTTAGATACGACAAATCGGTTTGGAAGAACAAGAATATATGTCAGTCACACTTTGTCGTTTTTAGTAGTATTAGATGCTGAGGTGAAATTCAAGAAGTCAAAGTCTGGTCATTTGTAAAAAAAAATAACTGAAAGTATCATTTTGTCTCCAAAATGATCAGAAACATGAGGAATCTTCTAAATTGAGCTTAATGTTTGCATAAACCAAAACGTTATATGTTACACAGTATTTGTTCAATGTAGACACAAATAGTTATTTTTAAGCCAAGGGTTGAAAACGTAGTTTTGTGTTAATTGAATATGGATTTTGGGGTTTGAGCAGCAGTGAGAGCTTCAACTATGCTGGATAAATATGTGTTGATTTTAGCGGTTGCTTAAGCTCTAAAATGAATGAATTCTGTAACTATTAAGTATAGTCTTTTACTATATATTTGTTATATTGTCTATAGTTCCGCTGCCAACAACCGAACCCGGTTAACGCGACATTCTTTTGAAATAACTACAAAGAAAATCTTTCGAAAATTGAGTACTGACTGATTACCTAGTTCATTAGCCAAAAGACTAAAGTTGCAATCTTGAAATAACTTTTGAAACCCGTTGTTAATTTTTTTTTCTATTCTCAGTCACGATTCTATATACATTTCTGCGTTCTAACATGAAATTTAACTTTCTTTATTTACAATAAATCATTCGAGAAAAAGTAAACACACTGGCAGATCGAAGTCGTTAATCCATTTAAGATAAGATATAAAATTTCGAACTTGATAATTTATGTTAAAATTTTATTTCTGTAATAAAAATGTATTGCAAGAAATTTAAATTATGGTTCCTTACATTCAATCGCGAAAAATAAATTTAGTTAAAACATATTTTGTAATAGCTAAATAAGTAGTTGCGTGTGTTTAGGGGAGGTCGGGGCTAGTTGAAATCCTACTTTCAATTTTCTTCGCGGTAGATCTGTACAACCGCTAAAGGTATTAGAATATCGTCATAAAATGTGTTCATTGCATTTAGTTTGTTCATTTATTTTATTCGGCGTAAAATATTTCAAATAGGAAGTAGCTTTTTTTTCACGTTGCATTTCAATATTCTGGAGTAAATTTATAATTTCTAAATTTGTGTGCGAAACTTTTGTTGACTTTCAGTTAGAACTAACATCGTGTCTTGGTTAAGGAAGCAAATTACTTAAAGTAGAGTAGTAGAGCATAAGTATGAAATTGTCCACAATTAACTGTAATGCTCTGAAAATGTACCTATGAAAAGAAAATTACTTTAGATTTTACAGGAGTTCGTTTAAAAACTAAAAACCTGTCAAATTATCTTGTATGTGGGACAGGTTACCATATTTTTGACTTAGTTGAATTTAAAAGTTTTATTACGTCATGTTTACGTGTGAAATGGGTTAAGCAGAAAAAATGCGAAACGCCGTAAAGTGTCAAGCTATGTCACTAACCCCAGTTTCCCTTATCATTTCTAGAAAATGTAATACGTAGCCGTGATTTGTTGCATGGAATAAACTGGGATAGAAACAAAAACATTTTTTTATTCTTATCATAAACAAATATTAAATGTTTCCTATTGTTTCAAGTTGCTACATCCTAGATAAAGAGCATAATACTGCATAAATTTTGCCGAAATAAAATATGTGCATTAAGATTGTTAAAATTTCTTTCTTGCTTTAGTTTTGTACAATACATTTTTTTTATTTGTAGTGTAAAATGTTGAATCAAAACATTAAGAACTAACGTGATTAAAACGGTTATAATCTATTAATAGTAGATTATAATCGATTACAATGAAGTAAAGAAACTATAGATTAATGTTACAACATTCTAGTTTAGATATTATCGTTAAAATTTATTGAGAAGTTGTGTATAGAAAATGTCATACATTTTGTCAAGGGCCAAGCAAAAATATATTTCAAAAAAATTCCACTAAGTTTGATATTTGTTTTACAAATAATAATAACATTTTTATTAGCTTAATAAATTATTGTATTTCAAAAGTTTCCAAGAAAAACGTTTTTTTATTTGCAATTACCCAAAGGATTGCATATTTTAATTTTAATTAATTCTTAAATTAAAGACCTTATTGCTAAATTAATTAAGAAAATTAATATTTGCATATAAAAATTTTAGATTGCCTGTAGTTACTTATTATGTACGACTGCATTACTAAGAGAATACGGGGAATAAATAATTTATGCATATGTTTGGTAATTCGGATAAATATAATTATACATTTTCTAGAAATGCCGCACACATGTTGAGTGAATTGTTTCCATGTAGATTTTTTAAATAATTTTTTGAAAAATGTTATATTTTTGGTAAGAATAAATATACCGTGTGATTTTTTTAACTTTATCCCAAGAATATGTTGACAGCACGAACTCTGCTGAAAACTAGAGCGTAACTTGACACAGTTTTCTCGATTAATTTTAAAAGTTATACAATTTTAATGAATTTGGCACGTAATTCACTTTGTTCTTAAAATGTGCATTATTATGATGAACTGGCACCATATAACCTGAGTATAGGTTGTCTGTGGCTGAACTTACAAAGCTAGGTTATTTTATGTCAACAAGAATCAAGCTCTTGGGATTTAAAATGGTTTATGTATGATAAATAACATGTTTAGTAGAATTTTTAACAATACTTGGTAAGGTTGCCACCGCTTCGTTACATAAATTGACTCCGCGTTTTATATTCTGAAATACTCGAGAAAATCTTCCAGGTAAACAGTTTCAAATTGTTGAATGATTATCACTTTTAGGTCTTCAATTGTTTGAAAATAGTGTATTTCAAAGTCGGGACCAAGAAGTAATCTAAAGCTGTCAGACCAGGTGATCCAGGTGGGTAAATCTGGTCTGTGTGGGATCTAATTAAACGGTCGTGATAAAATTTCCTTACAAAATTCAAACTTGTTTAAGCTGTATGAGCTGTTGCGCTGTTATGCTGAAATATCTGTTCTGCAATTCTTCGAGATCAACCTAGTCAATAAATTCCTGTAGCATGTTCTGATATGTCGCAGTTGTAACTGACTCCTTGAAGAAAATGGGTTCAAATAGTCGTCTTCGAAAAATGGCACACCAAATTCCAATTTTTTTTGTAGCTGCAATGAATAATGATCATTTTAAGCACTCCACATTCTCATATTTTCCGAGTTACATACCCTGATAGATGAAATCAGGCCAAAGAAAATCATTGTTCATTGTTTAATTAAATCGGTTACAATAAATTATTAGGTCCTTTGTAACAATTTTTTGACAAGTTGAATATGACAAGTCGCGTTGCCGCGAAAGCCTTCTTAAAGATATATGGAGGTTATCATCCATAATCTGTCGGACATTTTCAACAGTCTTCGTTAATGTTCGACTTCCTGATTTCCTCTTAATGCAACTAGTTCCACGAACTAATTTCATCACATAACTGAGTATCCTTAAAAAATTAGCTTCAAGAACAGCAACACTGGGGAATTTTTCACAAAATTCCTGAAAACAGGGTCGGGTTTCAGACACCCATTCAACATTCATTTGTTGGCTGTAAGCATGAAACTCTTGTTCTTCCTGCTTCTGCGTCAAAACACACCTGGATAGTTTTTGTTCACTTTCAAATAGATATTTAGCCTTAAAACGTCTGATTTTTGTCGAAAATTGGAAAAACAATAAGCGATACGAATTTACGAAAATGAAATAAAGCACAATGTACGAGATTATGGGCAAGCAACCACAATACAAGTTGTATGTTCTAAGAAACGACCTACATAATTTGGTGATATAATGGATAGCGAAAAGTACATCACAAATTAAAAAAATTACACAGTATTTTTATTCACTGCTGAAATATGAATAAAACCATATTTTAGATAGGAGAAGAGACAAATTTTAGTAAGTATTTTGTTATGCACGTCGTGTGTTAGATGTTATCTATTTGCGAAAATTTTTGTGTTATATGACCTATAAATCCTCAAGGAAGTAAGAAGTTAGACACTATTCAAAAAAAAAAAAAAATCGTTAAATATTTGTCTTATCTATGCCCGAGGGACATAAAATTGAATTAACTAATAAAGACACCCGTGTAGGAAAGTAAAATTATGAATTTGAATATTTGATACAGATGTTTTTTTCAAAAACTAACGTTTTGTAAATCAGAACATGATAAGTAAGTAGACTTAAACATAGTTATAATTCTGGGTTTCTGCCAAAAACATTTAGCAACCTTAATCAATATGCAGTGTTAAACGTTACACACAATTAAATCTTTACACCGCGAATTTAAGGTTTACAAGCGTCAGCTTATCGAACTAAATGAGGTTTGAACTGCAACAGCCAACTTACGAACAATGTGTGGGTAATACAGGGTCATTATAAAATATTGTAGTCGAAGAAGGCCATGATTTTGGTGACATTTTGTGCCGCCTTTTTCAGTTTTGTGGAAAGGATTACACTAATATTGGAATTTTTATTTTTTACGCCACATTAGTTGACATTAGCGGCTGCACTGTTTCAACGCTTCATCAAATTCTGTCAGATGTCAATAATTTTTTCGTTTGTACTGGTACGTTTTCCCTCACTTTGTGCGTTAATTGACTTGTCTTGTTTTCATTTTTGCTGTCTTCCCCTTTGTTAGAACTTTAATAAGTGTCTCAAAAAACAGTTTTTATCAAAACTACAGATCATTGTGGAATAATCTCAGGTAATGAACACAGAGGAATAACTATGGTCAGTGTTACAAATGATTTTTTTAGTTCTTTGGCGCAATCATCATGCCTATTACCGTAATGGGGTGTTAAATGAGGATGGGGATGGAGTGTACTCTGTGGAGGCGTCTAAAAACGAGTATCTAGTGAAATGTTCTGTTGTCATTGATGAAGAATCTTTGAAGACGCTATACGGCGAATTATGGCCAGATTTAACGACACTGGTAGCATTTCTAAGTGAAAACCGACGGGGAGACCTCAAGTTAGTGAAGACGTTGTTGAAGATTTAAGGATGAGAATGGAACAAAGTCCGAATAAAGCTTTGTCAAAAATCTTTACTGTCCGGAGTACCATACAGCCCATGTCAGAAAATCGTAAAAGAGAAGTTACATATGCATCCATACAAGATTTTGTTGGTTCAGGAGCTGCAACCAGCTGATTTTCCTTGCCGCGTTGGGTATTGTAGTTGGTTTCAAGCTGATATGGACGATAACGGGATTCTCGATTTGTCGTTCTTTTCTGATGAAGCCTGGTTTCATCTGTTAGGCTATTATGTCAACTGACAGAACTTCAGAATTTGGTGTATAGAAAATACTCACGCTTTTGAAGAAACACCATCACACGCAATGAAGGTTGGTGTGTGGTTAGCTGTTTCCAGACGACGATTCATAGGCCTGATACTTTTTCAAGTAAATGAATGTGATCAATAAACAAAATTAGATGTAGAAAGTGTATGTAGGTACTGCAATAAAGTTTTTTATTTTCAGTAACTTTCATTTTTCTTTCGGTGTTAGTTGCATTCTCTTAATTTAAAACTTACTTCAACTTACTGTTTAGTAATAATTGTAATTTTACTATTAGGAAAGTTAAAAATCTTTATTAAACATTCTGTTGTTTCAAGAGATCTCATAATCATCTACAGAACTCTTAACACTATGCTCCTGAAATTTTCTTGGTTTTTTCATCTTTTTTGTTATAGAAATTTTGAAAAATCTTGATATTAGGATGGCCATGTGGGCGTGTTTTGGGTAGAACCTCTTTGACATTCCTGTTATGCAGATCTGGCATGTTTCAGATATCTAGAAACTGCAAAGCTGAAGGTAATGTTTGGACATAGCAGTTTTCACCTATTGTAGGGATGAAGATCAAGGCTTTCAGTTGTGTTTTTTCAAGAGAAAAGCACCGGTCACAAACCATGTCTGCACCAATATTTTGACGATTCCTTACAATTTACAAACAGAACTTTCGCGGGATCACAACTTTGGCAAAATTATTTACTGCAAAAACTCATTAGGTATTCATAGTGTTCGTTAACTGTGATAAGACTTGCTCTGCCATTGTCCATTACGTGATTTTTCACAATTTTTACCTTCAGGGTACCTATAAAAATGTAATTTTTTAAATAATTACCGTGTTCATTGGTTTCGACAAACTTAACCTCACTTTTTGGATTTCATTATTTGAAAAATTATTGCTTCTTTGCAAAACAGACCAGATGATTTATTCTGTTCAACTCCAATCGACTTTCCAAGGTGTAATTCATGACAAAGCCCTTAAACGTTTTTCTGACAATTTACAATTTTTGAAACTGAAATGTATTGCAGTGGCGTTCACAAATGCTCGATAACACTGCAACCCTTAATGCTCTGGCCTGGCCTCTTTTCGTGTCTATTTAAAATGAAATTAAACCGCGAACCGGGCATTTCAATTTTTGACACATCTGACAGATTTGTTTGGACGTTCGTGACATTTCAAAACAGTTCAAATCATTTTGGTGATTAGCGGCACGAGAAAAATTTCATTTGTTTTTCATAGGTGAGTTGACTACAATATTTTATAATGACCCTGTATAACTCACACTACGATTAGAACATTATTTAATACTATTTAATACTACTAACTATAATGTTGGACGCAATGTTTAATGGTAGCAGCATGTAAATATGAAGATATAAATCGACATTAATTAATACCCGTAGAGCTTTATGATTAGACAGAGCAAAAATCCTTTTCCATTTCTCTCCCTGCCTCCGAAAAAACTTAGCTTCTGTAACTTCAACAGCACACTCGTCGCCAATTACATTTGCAGATAACACGTTTCGGTATTTGCTGCGAATATTTTCTTGGAGATAAGCTGCTATCTAAATTAGCGGCTTAATCCCGAGGCGAATGCTTTTGTTGATTACCGGCTGGCAATTTTCGTTGTCCGTAATGTGTTGTCTGGGGCGAATATGGGTCGGGTGGGTCCATAAAATTAATTGGGCCAGACACGCAAATGTCCGTGGACAAAATTACGTCATAACAGCCCATGAGGAGAATTTGCAGCCGGGTCAATTCATGCACGTAGGTTAAGTAAATGCTGAAAAGGAAGTCGATCGATATAAATGCCGCCGGCAGTGCAAAGTTATTTTGCCACACCCTCACCTTGGTGTCCTCTTCCCTCTACCCTTTCATCATGATATTAAGCACCTTACGAGTAATGGAAAAATCGCCAGATGGGGATACGAGTGTTAATAATGATCGCGTTATTGCCACTCGCGTTCTCTTGTGGTTCGTAGGAATGTCTCTAAATGTCTCAGACCGACCGTCTTGGAATTGGAAAACTGAACGATATTCGATACAGGACATTACTACTGAATTTTTACTTTCAGTTGATATTCTACTTTGCGGTTTGTACTCGTGTAATAATTTTTGGGCAGAAGAAAGCTCGGTAATGTGGGAAGGAGAGCAGTTTAATAGCACAATTATTTTTAAATTTCTAGTGTCTACACGTCATGTTCAAGCTTTTTAATGTTACTCCATGTAACATGTGAAAACTCTCGAGATTATAGCTGTAAAACGATTTTAGTGTGTCACGTATAAACAGGAAATTTCAAGTTGGAAGTATAAACGATACTCCAATTAAATTAACTCTGGGGAAATCAATAGATGAAATGTTATTGTACTCTTTCTTCTGCTTATAACGACGGTTAAATTAATTGTATTTCATGGTGACATGCAATACACACAATTGGAAAGTATCGCTAAGGAAATAAAAATTGTGATTATCTTACGATGTAATAAACATTTATTTTTATTATAAATGAAACATTTGAAAGAAAATAGATTTTCGAAGATACATTTATGATATTTAATATTTATAGATTTTATCGATTGTTGGAATAGGCACATTGTCAGAGGTCGTACGAAACACTAATAAATTTATGTTGAGCGTAAACGATGTCATAATTTTTAGAAAATTCAACTTTGGGAAAATAATTCTATGCGGGCTGTATCGTAATTACTATCAAAATTTTACCAGCTGTACTTCAAACTTCAAAAGTTACGTCCTGTTTTGTTCAATAAATAATGAATCGGGTAAGTAATTGTTTATAAACAATTTAAGATTTTGTCCTGAAATTGTGTAGGTAGGTCTGGCGAGCAGTGTGAGAGAATGTGTTTTGAGGAATTTTGATAGAAAGAACAGAATATTTTTGTAAAATTTTTTGATTTTATTCAAAAAGCACATCGCGATTTAAAATTAAAATCGAAAAATTACGGTTTTCAGTTAAATGCATTTGTTTCTTGCATCCTTTTGAAAGTGAGTGTCTTGTTACGGTTCGGTTGATAACCAGTGTTCAAATAATAGCTTATTAAAAATTAATTAGAAGATATGGTTTAGTGTGGGAATAGTAATGTTTTGTCGAGAAAATGGAAGGTACATGGACGATTAACTTTTAATCAATTTAGGTATTAGTTAACGAGATGTGTCGTCGACTTATTTCCTCGCAAATCGTAACTTCAATTAAAATGCATAATTGAGTGAAGAATTATGACTAAAGATTCTATTAAACCAAGTTTTTCCGATAACGAATTACACTAAATTTGAATTTTATAGCTCAAGTTGTTTTAAGGCCATTAGAAAAAAATAATAGATTTTCTCAAGGTACAATACATTTTGTATGGTAATTTTAACATTTTGTTAAACAACTTTTTTTGGGTTATTTTTAGCAAACATTATTGTGTAGACTAACGTTGTAAAAACTGCACTCGCCCTATTTTTGATATCCTTACAGGAAGTGTTGCGAAAGCCAAAACACTGAGTAATTCATGCCACAGCTAAAGTGTAATCAATCAGTTGTTATTAAAAGTTATCTTCCATATGTTTCCGCTATTAAGATAGCATTTCCTTATTTTTCTTTTTTTTTTGTTTAGAAAAGAATGGGCTTTATGGAGATAATAGGGATATATTAACTTTCAGAATAAAACAGAAAAGTGTTATTTTAACGAATATAATTATTACCAGTTATAAAAATCGAAAGTAAAATAAACTTAGCTAGAAAAAGTTATTTTTATTTCCTGAGCGTAAACTAAGAAGTATTATAATCGAATTCATTGGACGAATGGCTACTTTCATATTTTTTTCATTTTGTATTAGTGGAACAAGATGTAATGTGGTCGTTGGTCTATATGTGTCTTAAGGTTAGACATTATTTTCTTCAAGATTGAATTTTTCTGTCATTAATCTGAAGTATGAAAATCTCTTCACAGCAAAGCAGTGTCCTGTTTGCTCTTTAAATCAACTAAAATGATATTCGAATTATCAAATTTAATTTTTTGCAAAAAACTTTCTGAAAAGAAGGATAGTCTTGGAATAAATAAGTAACTTTAAAAACTGCTGTTTGTTTTTTACTTTAAAAATTATAATTTATTATAGTACGATACATAAAATAGTTCTTGGCATGACTACTAATTTGCTGTTTAGTCACGTTACGCACGTAATAAATGATAAAAACAAATATATATGTTAAAAGTGTGTTTTTGGCTTTTGCGTGCCGTAAAATATTTATACCCAAAATTTCTGCTCTAAAGCTTGTCGGTATTTACATAGTTTAAATAAAAAAAAAGATGTGGGGCGTCATGGACATCCGTATGGAACGAAGTTGCGCTTGTATATAATTTATGAAATAGTACAATAAAATAAATGAAGGAACGGTAATAACATTGTCATTATAAAAGGAAATAAACATTTTAGTATTAATTAGTATTATAAAAATTAATAACTGTAATTATAAACTCAATCTGTACATTCAATCATAGAAATTAGTACTTTATAATAACTGAAGTATGATAATGTATTTAAAATCTAGGTGGGTAAAACTCAACAATTTATTTCATACTGACTCAAATGTGCACGACTAACTTATGTACAAAATAACTCCGGCGCAACTTGGCTGGACTCTGTCTTGACTCAACTTCTCCCATTGTCTGGACTACACTGGCTCTTCCCGACGGTGGTTTCCATTTAACCAGCCGCGCGCCGTCCTTCTCGAAACGCATCCGTCACCGCTTCTAGACTTGTCTGGAGCACCTATTCGCGACTTCCGCTTCCAGGCTTTTCTCCAGCCGCCCTCACCGACAATGAGTCATCATCGCCATACATAGTAGAACCCATAGGAGTCGTACCGGGGCGGCGTATGGGTTTATTTGGTAACAATACATTTGTCTGAGATTACATTTTGTTCAAATATCTCGAGAAGAATGCATCGATAGTTCTATTGTATCTTGTTGTGTAATGCTTGAGTTTATCATCGTTATCCTCAACTTCTAGTGGATCATTTTCATAAGAGCTTGTAAACATACAAAACAGCTAGAGAGAAAGAGTAGAGTATTCGGGGGCAGTGCAACATACTACGGCAATTATGTCGATGTCGGGCGTCGAGGCCATCTTACGTTTTTTTCGGACTAGCTCTACTCCGCCAAGTAGCGAAAAGGAACCTTGTTCCAATAATTACAAAATATCTATATGTTGTTCTATTTTCAGTAAGCGAAGAATTCTTGTGTTGTTTTAGCTTGTGACGTAATTGTAATAATAATTGAAGTAAGCTAGTGAGATGTACCTTGCCCAGAAAAATTCCTTTAAAACTAACAAAAAATCCAAGTGTTAAGATACCTAAGAAAGTTCGGAATTCACATCAATTCGTGGGTGTCTTCTATGAATAACAAAATGTATGCAACACTAGTATGTATCAGAATGGAGTAATGAACGACAGCACTGTACGATGAACGGCGCCATAAGAAGAAGTAGTCAAGAAAGATCAAATCGGCCTACAAATTAGTCTTGGCTTCGTCTTTAAAAATAAGTTGGTAATTTAGATATATGAGAGACAATGTGATTGACGCAACTGGTAATAAAATTAAAAGAAAATTATCAGTAAATATTGAGCAGGATGTGTATTTACTTCTAAAAAGAGAAAGAGTAAATGCACTTACAGAAGATTTTAACCTCACTAATGCATTCTAGGTGTACTTTGAAAGAATTTAAAGCACAAACTTTCGAAAAAATAAAACCACCTCAACTGATAAAAACGTATAACAGCTACGAGACGACGTTAGACTTTCCTTATGCATCGTGCTTCGACACGTAGAAAGGGTTAAATAGCGCCGGGTTAATAATAGAGAGCTTAAATTTGATTATAAAATTATTAATAATCGACTGAAAAAAACTGTAAATCGGTTTTAATTGTGATATTGGGCATCACTCAGGTTATTTCAGGAAAACAATGTTCTTTAAGATATAAAGACAAATCATCAGAAGACTAAAGTTACAATAATCCCCAGTTAACAATGAATTATTCTTGCAACAACTGATGGTGGTGTTTACACGAAATTGTATACCTTGTTTTATATTCAAATACATATTTTGTTTATTGTTCAGAAACGAGAGTCATTAACTAGTGAGTCAAGATAACCATTGATAAACTGAAACTATTGTAACGTCCAGCTAATGAACGAGATATAATAAAAAAATTCTTGAAAACGATTAGTTATAATGTGATTCATGGAACTATTAGTCACACAAACAAACTAAAATCTTTCAACTTATCAGTTGGTGTGGGCATTTTTTTTATCTCGAGCGACTTCAGGGACTTTTCGCGTTTCCATACTTTAGAAGGTCCAGGTGTCTGTCCGACCAAACATAACCATCCGAAGAAGTGTCGATGGAAAATGAAAAAAAAAAAAACAAATTTTAAATGTTGAGATTCACCCCAGAAGAAGTGTGACGGCGCAGAAAAATTACTTTTCGTTGCAGAAACTTATTTTAAAATCATGATCGCAGTCAGATGATTCAAGATATGCAACCAAGGGAATTTTCACAATAATTAGCTGATATTGGCTTTTCAGTAATTCGTACTCAAATTCAACGAATGTTTGGAGGAACATTTTCAAAATCGTCCGAAGAGGAATCAATCCAGTACGTATAATTTGGCTCCATCAAACATTAAAAAACCCTACTATAATACTCTCGAGTCCATTAACGGATGTAGAGCCGAGTATGGAGTAGTTTCAGCTCCCACATTGGCACAATAAAGGCTGATTCAAAATCCGACCCTTCGAACTGGACAAACTTGCTTGGAAAGTTTTGAGCTAACATAATCCACATAGCACTTCAACCCTAGGAGACGAAAGAGTAGGGTGATCTTTGTGACATAGTTTTATGGGGTGATTGACGTGAATGCATAGCCTCGCACACCTAGTACGTTATATTTTTTGCCTAAATTACGAACCACGATTTCAAAAAGTTCCACAAGGAAGCCTCGAGGCTATCAGGACTCATCGGATAGATATGTTTCGTTCTCCCACTTTAAAGATGAGACTCTTAAAGGAGTAAAAATTTTAGATTTTACGCTGGGTACTTGTTTCTTAGGAATCATTACTACGTCGACCAAGGTTCAAACTTAGCTGTGATGCGACGTCGAATACAAGCAAAGAGTATATAGCAGAGGTTTACAAATTCCAGTGTGGGTTCCTCTAGACTGATCTAAATCGTACGATGTATTCACCCGTGGTGGCTTCATGCGTGAGGGAATGAAAGCTTCTTTTGATCGTAATTTTTCCTGCCTCACTATAAATAGTAGCAGTCCCAATGCAGAGTTGAGTTTGCTAAAAGTCAAGAATTTAATTTACCAAAAAATTATGACCGATTTTTACATACTGAAAATTTTGTGTTAAATTGTTTTCATATTATTAAAATATAAATCGACGATTGAGCTTTAATTAAATTTAATAACACTTTCATTAAACAAAGTAGAAATCTGATGTTGATGGAAGTTTCGTAGTGCTTCATTTTAATAAATAATATATTGGTACAGTGACCAAAAATAAAAAAAATGTGTAATATCGTTTGTTCCAGTTTGCGAAGAGGGCCTGGGGCGAACGTGCAAGACAGCAGCGGGTATTCTGCATTGCATCACGCCGCTCTGAATGGCCACAGGTAGTCAATGAAGTTTAAAAGGAGCCACTTTCATAATTCTAGTTTTTTAGAGAAATCGTCAGACTCTTGCTCGAACACGATGCATCGGCGAACATCGTTGATGTCAAGGGGTCGTCGCCGTTGCATCTAGCAGCTTGGTCTGGAAATGTCGATATCGTTAGGTTACTGCTGAGCGGGCCATCGATTTGTAATGTGAACTTGACGGTAAGTAGTTTTAAAAGTAGAACGGCTGTTTTGAGGTGGATGATGCAGTGGAAAAGCACAGCAAGAGCAGTCGTGGCCGAGCGGTTAAGGCGTCTGACTAGAAATCAGATTCCCTCTGGGAGCGTAGGTTCGAATCCTACCGACTGCGAAGTGACTTTTTTTAGATAATAATTACAATTTTGTCTCGGTTATATTTTTAGAAGTATGTATACAAAAAATACTTATAAAACGATACCTAATTACTTTCAGATTTTTTGGAGGGATTTAAATAGTTTATAGATTTAGAAATATGTATTTTTAAATATCATCAATCAATGTTTGTGTGTAGAACATTTATGAGCTCAGTTAGTAGTCACAGTCGGCACCAAAATGACAACTTTGATTTTTTTTTTATACAACTGACAAAACAAAGTCCACATTTCTTCGTTTAAGACAAACATGCAAAATGCGATTTTTGCTTAAAAAAAAATACTTGAACATGAAAATGCAGTTGTTAAAAAACGTGTAACACGAATGATTTTTTGTCTAGGCAAACACCTGGTGAAAGAAACTACATTATTATGCACCAAAGTATAATTTTGCACATTATAGTGCCACAAACAATTATGTAGGGTTGCGAGATGCATTTTTTCATGTTACAGTTTTTTTTTTGTTGTATAACGAAAACAAAATTATTCTTTACAAATTGTTCTGTCGCCCATTTTGTGTATTTACATAATTAAAAATAATAAGCTTTAAACGAGTTAAAATTATCGTCGTAATTATGGGCTATTAATGTATTATTATGGCTATTATGCAATTACGGCTCATGGTAATGATATGGATGAAGAAAAACGTTAATTTAGGCAGCGTGAATAGCAGAGAACCATCTGAAAAATTGTTATTTTTAGCGGTAATCCCGAAAATTTTAGATTGGAATCAAAGAAAAAAGATCATGCATCTCACGTCAGCGTGAAGTGGTGATATAACCAGCCCCAAGTGTGGAAGGTAAAATGATTTTTTACGAGTCAATACACCAGCAAAGGAAGATGATTGCAAATTTATGCAAGAAATTTCCGGTGAATTTCACGGGTACCAGAGCAGTGTCGAGTAAAAAGTAAAAGTTCAGTGTATAATAAATATTGGAATCACACGTTTGGTCAAGTTCTTGCAGCGAAATCGAAGCCACACCACGTTAAACAAAAACAACATTATGACAAGTTTGGAAAAAGTTGATCTTTAATTATCTTAGATTATTTAATGATCGTTCTTTTTTTGATATCTCCGAATTCTTTAGCAGTTTCTGAGATTATAGGAATAACGAAAAGTGATTTGTTAATTTAGAAAAACTAGTGTTATTAAAGTATTAAGGAAAAATGCTAATTCTAATTTCCGCATGTACCTACTACATTTTTACGTGAACTTTTTTTGAATTTGATTCAATAAACATAAACTAAAAAATTAAGACTTTCAAAAGTTATGTACCATCGAAAATTGTTTTAAGTGAAATACCCTACATACTATAAAAATCAAACGCATTGGCCTTATATAATTATTAATGAAAATATTAATTTTGCACGTTAAACTATGCAGAAAGAGTTTGCAGCTTTCATATGGAAAACAACTGCAAGTAGTAGACTTACAAAATTTTCTTAATTAGTTTTTCGATCGCACTGTTATTGTGCAATTAACAAAATTTAATTTATTAAAATAACCAAGCTTTGCTCTTTGTTTCTTAATGCGTCAGCTCTCTCAACGAATTATTAATGCCCACAAGGAGGCGCAACTTTATTCAAATTGAAAGGCGTCCTATCTTTTAAGGTTTCTATTTCGAATAACATTAAAATGCGTTTAATAAAAGCTTTGTTAACTCAATCGTACGATTAATGGATTACGTTATCAAATAGTCCATCAAATATTTAAAAATTTATTAATTTTAATTTGCTTACTAAACGTGAGCCTACGTATTTAAAAGAAAATTAAAACCAGTAGACTGAATCGAAACTGAAAAATAATTGGATTAAAAAATCATTTTTATTTCATGAGCGTAAGCTAAGAAAGTATTGTAATAGGGCCTATCGGACGAATTGCTGTTTTCAGGTTTCCTCGGCGTTTCATGACCCCTAGAGTCCGAAAAAGTCTGTCTGTCTGTGTCAATTTTTATTAGACAGATAATTTGCGGAACTACCGCACCAATTGTTATCAAATTTTATATGTATGTTAGAAATATCGTGTAGAAAGTGTAGATGATAAAACACTAACCAAAAATTGACGAATAATCCCCACCGGCAATGGGATGACGTCATCTCTAAAATTTACAGTAGTAAATATTATTTAAATTTTATAAAATAAGATACGGCTTATGAATCCGTGTTGAGTTTTTACCCTAAACATCCATAATTTAGGAAAAAAATCAAAAATATTTTGCAATTTAACTTTGAAATTGCAGAACTGAATTCTATGAAATCTTGCAAATATTTTAAGGTGATCTTAGGCATAGTAAATAGTTATTCAAAATTTATACGCCTCCACACCTCCCGAATGATGATGTCATCTTACAATTTTTTCAGTTTATGAATCCGTGTTAAGGTGTTACCCTAGACATGCAGATCTTAAAAAAAAAATCACATTTGTATAACAACATTTTACAACTTAATTTGAAATTACAAAACCGAATGCTCTGAAATCTTGCAACCATGTTGTGGTTGTCGTAAGTATGGTGAATCCATAGTCAAAATGTATCCATTTACTCTCCCAAAGAAACTGATAACGTCATCTCAAAATTTTGTTACAGAAAAACTCACTTGAAATTCACATGGCATGCTCCTGTGCCTGTATTTTAACAGCGCATGCATATTTTTATTTTAACTTTTAAGGTTTATTTTTAAAAAATAAAATTTGCAAAGTTCAATTTTATAATTTTTCGAAAAAGCCGTGTTTGAAGATGTGGTACCACTTTGACTTTCGATTTATTTATATCCTAACTGCATTTCTAGTTAGTTAAATAACACTCATAAGTCCATACGTAAAACTGTATGACGTGTTAAAGTTAAATAGGAATTTGGATTATCGCTTTTCTCTTTTCGTCAATCCATAACCAGAACGAATATTCTTCATTAATATACTGAACTCTTTAAAACAGGTAAATGAAAAACAATCTTCAGGTGAACTTAATTAATTAATTAATTCATGCATTCATTAAGATGTCTCAAATCTTAAAAGTAATGATTTTCTCCATTTTCAACCGTAGTTTGTGAAGCAAACAACCTCAGAAATGCAAAGATTAGCATTATTTCGAACGCTCACCTGATAAAAACCAGCTAGTTTTAGCATTAGAGCAAAAATATTTTTAACCATAATAGAAAGGTAACATCTATGGATTTAGAGAGAAACCCCGTGAATAGTTTTCTTTAACATGTAGTAAAAAAAGTTTCACTTTTTTTTATAAAACAAAAAAAGTAAAAGAAGTTTGACCAACTTTGATGTGAGACTCAGAAACCGGTAAAGAAATTGTCGTGCTTAATATTTATGGAACTAAAAACTGTTGTATGCTATTGTATCTGATACAGTTTTTTACTGTGTTATAAAGCCATTATGAGTTGGAAACAACCCTTAAATCGCAACTTTACTCATACATCATCTTGTTGACTACGCTAAAAATTTTCCTTGTTATCTTCGGCATACTCCACACGTGCTAAACCAACTTTAATTCTTTTACCACTGTAGTCTAGAAATGAAAAGATTCCTGCTAAGTTCATAATTATGTGGCATACGACATCCGTTTTAATTTAAACTGAAAACATTCCTTAAAAATTACATGCTATCAATTGAACATTTTTTTTTTTTTTTTGAAAATTTTCCCTAGATCATTAATAATAGTACCATCTAAAAGATATAAATATCTAGGCTATACTAATGCGGAAATCATAACTTCCTCTTAATGATCTAATGTGTTTACAGTGTAAGTGTTTGCAACGAAAATTTTTATTATCATCAGGTAAAATTGTTTCGATGTTTTGAGAATGAGTCGTTTCCTTGATAACTTTTCCCTCACATATTTGAACAGATAGGAACAACTATATGTAGTTGCATATCTCGTAATTGAAGTAAAGTTTAACGAAAGATATACTCAACTTGTCATAATTTTTACAGTAGGGACAGTAAATCCGTTTCCCTGACAAGACCTTCTCCTGTTGGTAGCATGCCATTGCTTGCGTTTATTTAATTTTATGAGGGACCTAATCTAAAATGCCTACGAAATAAAAGTCATAAACACACTATATATCTTTTGTCAAACTTTACCCCATTTTTTTTAACAATCAATCTGCGTGAACGATTAATAAACATTTTAACTCGATGGTAATAATCGTAATACTCCTGAAGTGATTTCAATGAAAATATTAACCGTTTGGATTTTTTGTTGTTTAAAATTGGGATATCTTGTATCAATTAAAGCAAAATCTTGCAGTGTATACAGTTGTACATAAGCAAAAGTTGTTTGTTGAGTGTTGGTTCTATTCGTGAAACCGCAAACTTGCTCTATTTTTGCCCACGTCTAAATAGCACATTTTTATTGCATTAATTAACAGCAGCCAACACAAAAAAGGAAACGGGCTGCCGGCTTTTCCAGCAGCATTCTCACTAACATTGCATTGATGAATATTAATCATCAGTCGTCGATCGGCTGTACCGAAACTGTCGCTTTTCCCTTGTAAGCGGGAAATCGTCGTAATAAGTTTCATGTCGTGAGCGTAAATCAAGTGAATTGCCGGAGCAAGTCAAACAAGCAATCGACGTGATTGGCAGCGCAAGGGTCCGTTTGTGCAGATTAATCACCATCGGGCCGTATAATGGTCCGGTGATCCCTTTCACGTTGGCCACTTGAACGACCTTTCGACTGTCAATGTCGCGTCATCCACTATCTTAATTACCGTCCGAATTGCCGGCACAAGTGCCCATCCAGACATTATTCGATTCCAGACCAAAGCTGCCGCATGAAAGGATTAGTTGGGGAAGTGACA